ACATTGTCCCATTAGAGATGCCCTAAAGCTTATTTTGCCTATTTCTCTTTTCTTACCTAGTAATTACTATCTAATCGACCAGACTACAATTTAATGGTTTATTGCTGGACATTACTATGGGTGTAATTGACTTGTCTTGGAGCTCATTTGGAAGTGCTCCTAAAATGACTAATTAATAACTCTTTTGGTAAAAATATTTTTGGAACCCATTCTTAGTAAAAATGTAAGTGAATTCTGAAAAAAAACATATACCTGATGCTTCTTGCAGGAAACACCTCAAGTACTTTTAAAATTTAAAAACATTTTCTCTATAAACGCTTTCAATCATTTTAAAAACGTTTTAAAAGACTCCTTAATTTTTTCAAGTGAAAACAAGCTAGTCCCTCTCATTAGCCTGCCTTTTGTTCGTCGTAGCTTTTAGATCGCTTTCTTATTGCTAAGTGGTGGGTCATAATAATTAAAAGTAAAAAACACTACAAACTAGAAAATAATATATTTTGAGGAAAAAAAAAAAAATTAAGATAGAGAGAGGTAGAGATCATAGAGGCGGATCTCCTTTTCTTATAGTTTAATCAGACCTATAACACAGTTTTAATCATTGTTTTACTCACAAGGGCTGTGAATATTTTCTAATATTTCCTTTTTCAAAATCATTCCTCTAAAACATATATATCCATCTGTCTTGTATATATATATTATATATAGGAGGGTGAAAATCGCCCCACAAAAAAAGGAATCCAATTTGACGCTTAAATTATTTAATCTCTTACATTATTAATTAAGGGAGCCATTTCCTAATTAGTATATAAGCAAATTTCTCATAATACAAAGTCAATCTTAGTATGCATGTATTTTTCGTTCATTAACTTGATAAAACAAAGATAGATCATGTCATGGAATGTATGGCTCGATGATTTGATTCCTCTTAATTTGTCTAATCTAATATATAGACGACTGATTTTTACTAAACAAAACAAAGGCAGGCACCTCTTCTGCTTTCTACATATCAAATTGGGTTTTCTTTTCCGTTCCAAGTTCCAATCAATGAGTGATACTAGAGAAACCATCTTTTTAAATCATATTTTGTAAATCCTATGTCGTGCCGGTTAGTGGTTGGAATTCTTCTTTAAATCATTAAAAATAGTAGTCAAATCATCAACTACCATATCATGTGGTTTACAAAACATGGTCTAAAAAGATGGCCTTTTTTAGGATTTTTCCTAAACGAATATGTATAAACATAGAAGATGCATGATTTAATGGAGAGACATAGGTGTCCATATGTCTACTTTTGATGTTAATATATGTCTACTTTTGATGATTAACAAAGTTAATATATATTTAAAGTAAAGAAGCCATTGATAATAAAACGTCAACGAAAGCATTTTTTTTTTCCAAATGTGAATCTCTGATTAATTTGGACGTTGCTTTGTTGCATGATATGATCTACGGTCTTTGCAATTTTATTCTCTTGGAAACCCATTATTTATAGACACCAAACAACGTACTAAGTACCAGTTTTATGAAAGTGTCTGTGTGTGAGAGAGAGACAGAGAAAGAAAGATCCACTTACAATGTTTGCACATTCTTGTAAGGAGATATATATGGCCATAACCGTGCCATTAAAGCAGTAATTAAGATATATATATATATATTACAAATGATTGTATGTATCTAACCCTAATTTATGACTTTACCCCTTAAGCAACTAATCCTGTCAATATATGAGATTATCTTTTTAGTAGACATCATGTCCATTACGTACTCATATACATATTTATAGTATACCAAGACAAAAGAACTAGATTGGCATGAAATAAAAGAAGCCAATGAATGTACTCTTGCTGTATATGCTTATTCTGTATTAGTGCCAAGACAAAGGTCTCTATATATTACATTCACAAGTTCGTACATGTTGCCAAATATGTGTTACTTATGAAGGAAATTGAAGTTCTACTATAAAATCAATGGGCAATATGAGAAGTAAACAACTTACTAATAAGTTCATGAAATGTCTTTTCTCCTATCAATGTCAAATTCATCTCAACACGTCCGCTTACATGTGGCGAACTTTCAAGCTTAACACATGGACAATACAAACAAACAAAGTGACATGGAGTGCACGTGGCTGTTAGGCTTCACACGTGAGACAACCTGCTCTGATAACATGAAGAAAGTTGAGGTTTTAATATAAAATCAATTAACAATATGGAGAACAGTCCAACTTATTTACAAGTATATGAAAGGTTCCTATCCCATTAATGTGAGATTCATTTAATTATATGCACGTACATTGTACAAACAAAAAGACATGAATAAAGTTGCAGATATGTATGCAGAACAACTCAGGTGGATCCAATTCGTCCTGTGAAATCCCATAGACAAGAGAAACTATTTGCTTAAATTCTCTCTTGTACAAAGCTTGTTGCCATTGTCTCCTCATATAGCCAATGGCCAAGAATTCTTCAATGGTGGCATTGTGCACATGCATGGCTGGTAGGACGTTCGAATATCATTTGTCAGAAATTCTGCATGCCGTGTTCTTCTCGTAAGTCTTCTCTATCCATCTATTCAAGATTTTCGAGATTTTAGGGGGAAACAAGAATGGAGAATTGGCTTCTTTGTTGTCAAAGACTCGAATGCTTTTTGTTTGATTCCAAATTAGTGCATATATAGTGGCAATTAGGAATATAATGCCTTTGAATTTGTTCCATATTTTTCAGTGCACGTGCTGCATATAATCATCATGCAACATCAATAAATTGAGTAATCTTGTCATTCCTTAAAATTCTTCCGTAAAATTTATTGGCAATATGAGTAGTAACCCAATTTACTTATAAGATCATGCAAGATCTCTCGTCCCATCAATTTGGAATTCATTCTCAACATGCCCCGTCATGTGACGAATTTTCAAACATAACGCGTGAACAACATAATGGGGTGACGTGAAGTCCGTGTGGCCGTTTAGCTTCACATGTTGGACTACATGCTCTAATACCATGAAAGAACTTGATGTTCCATCATAAAATCAATTGGTAATATGATAGTAGTCCAACTTACTTATAAGCTCATGCAAGGTTCTTATTTCCAACTGCCACTACATGGGCAATCCATCCCATCTGAGGATACATAAAATTTTACCCCAAAGCTTATGACGTATTAGAATAGCACTGTATTGATATCGATTTTGGATTATTAATCATAATTAATTTGGTTTGAATTTACTTTCCCTAAAATAAAAAAAAATAAAAAAACCAAACTTCGATGGTACAAGAAAATTTCGTTGATACGAAAAATAAAGTTACACTTAGTAAGGAAACATAAACCCTTCCTAAAACAAGAATTTAGTCCGAATTCACATTTCCACAATATTTAATATTTAATGTCAATATTGATGTGCTTTCATTTTTCACTTTCATTTCACGTGACACGTCCCAGTTTATCCTAAGACTAACAAGTCTGTCTATCATAATCAATCCTTCCAACTCCATGCCTGTCTGGTCGATTTGATAGGAGTGATTGCATTGTCTGTGACCAATTTTTTTTGCATTGTCTGTGACATCAGTGCATCCATGTTTCTTGAGGTTCAAGATGAGAAACTCATTAGGGGTTGGGGCTTTTAAAATTTTGCCCCGTATGATATGCTGTGGAGCACCTCAAATCTTGTCAGGCCCAACTATATAAGGGTCAATCAATGTACAAAAGCCCAACTTTACTTGATCCTTTATGAAAGGAGAAACGAAAAAACAAAAACAAAAAAAAAACCTAATGGTCAATTGGAGACAACGGCAAAATGAACCTTTCCCCAATTCTTTCTTGCCCTCACATCAAGGGAGAATTCTCTCCCTTCCTAATCTCTCTCCCTTTTCCTTTCCTTTTCCTTGAACGATTACGGTTAAGTCACATTAACATCTTATATTGATTTTTTTTTATAGAGACAATAAGACAAAAAATAAAGCGTGAGAGGAGGGGAGGAAAGGAAATGGGTATATGAGTGGACATAATCCTACTCCTCACATCAAATCCACGAGACTTTGCCAGGTACTGACCTCCGCTACGAACCATAGTCGCAACGCAATGTCCTTCAACCTACACAAGAAGAACAATAATCTTGCACCAAAATAGTTAAAATACATCTTCCGGATGAACAATTTTAGGTCACTCTAATCTCTAACACGCAATTGTGGTAGCAAATTTCTACACCTTTGATCTAGATAAAAATGTACCTACAAAACAAACAACATCTTTGATCAAGGACCAAAGGTGTCCACGAGGAGTGGGAGGGTTTGACCATGGATCTCCGATGCCTAAGTTAGTTCCTCTGTAAAAAAGTAAGCATTTAGAAAATATTGCACCAAAAAATGAGGTGGCAGAGAGTCCATTAAGAGTCTCACTTTTGAGAAAATCTCCTTAGTATTTATCTTCCTATTATCCTATTAGCTAGTTATTGGTTATGAGCAGAAAGGGCAAAATGCCATTTTCTAGAAAGTAAACACTCATAAATGTTTTTGCTCCCTATATCAAAATCCTTAGAATTTAGTATTTTTACATGTGGAAAAGCCATGTAGTTTTAAGTGATCTTATTTTCACACACTCTTTTTACTCATTTTATTTAAGGTTGTGAGATTGGATAAATCAAACGAAGAACAACATAAAAGATTAAACAGGCGAGAAGATAGAAAGGTGTGTGTTTATAATTGCATTCAAAACATTTGCTTAGTTCTCATTGCTCATGATTCTTCAACTGAATTTGGGAAAGGTTTTCAGTTTTCAAAATAACTGAAAGCTAGTTTTATGAATTTTTAAAATTTGCCTTTCAATTTTTGCATAAGGACAGTTACTAAACAGAAAAATTAAAAACGAAATAGTTATTAAATCGCTTCTCGGTGATGTTGCATGATAAATCTGAACCTGACCCGACTCGTTGATTTGTCCTAATCTTGTTGAAGCCCAATCCGGCCCATTGACAACCCCCAGCAGTAGAGTAGAAGATTAAGGGATAGAATTTGCCGATGCATGTAAATTCTGATCGCTAACAAATTCAAATACCAAGAAGCTCATGAAGGATTTCAACTGCCATTTAGAATGAAGGTGGTGATGGGTTTGCAAATTCTCCAAGTGGCGCCACCGCCACCACTCACTTCTTCCTCCACCTCCTCCTCCTCCTCATCTTCTTCTTCTTGTCGGGTCCAAACCCTCCCACTCTGGCTCAACCAACGCCACTCCCACTGCCGCCACTCACGGCCTCAGCTTGCTCTCCCACCCCGCCACTCGTTCAAAAGAACCACACTCTCACTCGTCGGCAGGAAAGGTAGGAAATTGCAAGCTTCTTCATCATCTTCTTCAACTACCCAACAAGACCAGGATGACGAAGAAGAATACGAAGACGACAAAGAAGATGAAGAAGATGAATCGGACCCTGACCCGGAAGACCTCGAATACGTGGGCCAAATCAAAAGGATATCTTGCTTTCTTCCATTCTTTGATGGGTTTCTTTTCATTTCAGTATTTCACACACTGTTATTGTTGGTTAGGTGTTGGAGCTTCTCCGAAAGAACAGAGACATGCTTTTCAGTGAGGTATGGTGTAATTCAGTAAATGCATTTCTCCATGTGCTTTAAAGTTAAGAAGTTTGAGTCTTGATCGAGTTTGGGATGGTGTGCATTGTGATAGGTTAAGCTCACTGTTATGATTGAGGACCTGCGAGAAGTTGAGCGCAGGAGACTCCTCGGCATTGAAGATCCTGATGCCCCTACTAGGGAGGAATTGGCTGATGTTCTTGAAGAAGTAAGCCCTTCATTTTAATTCCCTTGCTACACTATGCTATTTTAGGCGAATTTTCGATAGCGTGATTCATGAAACAGCAAAATTAGCATGTATTTGCATTGTTTGGGTGGAATCATTTCATACCTTCACACAATGAATTCATGAATGCAAAGTAGCTGGGAAGATCAATTGAAGGGTGTCTATTCATGTACTGAGTACTGACTTTCTGATACCAATTTGTGGGTTAGCCGCTTATATGGACTCGAAGAAATCCTGCACAATTGGAGGGCCTCAGAGCTATTCACTTATTATTTTCACCTGAACCATTATAATAAAGCCCTTCAATTGGTTTGACATGCATAAATTGCAATCTTTCAGCTAAGTAGTTCATAATTATAATAGAACAACCTCCAGTAGATGCATTTCTTCCATCACTGTTAGATGTCAGCCATGAAAGTTTGCTGAAGACGACTGGATGGTGAAGCATCATTGACTAGATATGCATCTTCACTAGGTCAAAAGCACGCATGTTGTAAGAGAAAATTATATATCCTCACTGGTTTACACAAGTCACGAAGTATATGATCCTTGTGTTGAATAAGTGGCCAAGTGGCCAAGTGGAGAACAAAATATATAAAAAAAGCTTTTGGCTATTAAACAAATCAAAAGAAAAAAAAGGACAACATGATTATGTTTCCTTGTTTTGTGGCTTGTTTTGTGGCTTTTTCAAAGCCATAATTATGGTTTTTTTTTTCGGATAGAAGAAATAAGGAAGGGAGAGCTCATTGTCAGTAAGGGAGCTCATTTTCTGCCGAGAGCAAGGAGAGTTGTAGAGAGCCCAAAAGAAAGAAGAAGTTGCTGCTTCATTTGGTTAGTAATCATCCACCAAAGTAATTGTTGTTGTAATAGCTTTGAGCTATATGTATAGAGAAGAAATTATTCATTATATTTCTTTCTCTATTTGTTTCTTTGGTGTGTGAGAGTTATTGGGTGTATTGGGTTATTTGGGTTGTGAGATTGCCAACACTTTGTAAACTTCCATTTGGTTGATAGTGAATTATTGGGTGAGCTCCTACTGCTCCGAGGACGTACTCCAGTTACACTGACTGTTGAGGAACGTCGTTAAAATCTTGGTGTTCTTTTATATTTTGTTCTTGCATTCCATTTGATATATTTTCTGTGGGTTAGCTTGAGTTGGTTCCATAAGGTTTGGTGCTATCCTAGCACAACAATTGGTATCAGAGCACTGGTTGCTCTTGGGTACTGTCTAGTTGCCAAAGATATCAGATGGGCAAGATGAAAATCATTTTGGAAGCAGCTCCGGGTTTGCAAGAACTACGGTGCAAAATGCAAAGTTCGAAGTGGAAAAGTTTGATGGCACAAACAACTTCGGGATGTGGCAATGTGAGGTCAAAGATGTGTTGGCTCAACAAGATCTACTTGCCGCTTTGGGAGAGAAGCCAGAAGCTATGTCGAAGCCGGAATGGGAGAAATTAAATTTGTGGGATTGCTCTTCAATTCGGTTGTGCCTTGCAAAAACTCAGAAGTATTTTGTGATGCGGGAGACGGTAGCAAGTGTGTTGTTGCCGCTTTGAGAGAGAAGCCGGAAGCTATGTCGAAGCCGGAATGGGAGAAATTAAATTTGTGGGCTTGCTCTTCAATTCGGTTGTGCCTTGCAAAAACTCAGAAGTATTTTGTGATGCGGGAGACAGTAGCAAGTGTGTTATGGCAAAAATTGGAAGACAAGTATATGACGAAGAGTGCAGAGAACCGGCTACACTTGAAGAAAAAGCTCTACCGCTTTCAATACAAAGAAGGTACAAAAATGATTAGACACCTTGATGCTTTTAATAAGTTGATTGCCGACTTGTTAAATTTAGATGAGGATATTAAGGATGAAGATAAGGCCTTAATATTGTTGAATTCCTTGCCGGACTCTTATGAGCATTTTGTTACCACTATTATGCATGGTAAAGAAACTGTGAAATTTGAAGATGTGTCAAATGCCTTGATGAATTATGAAATGAGGCATAGAGATAAAAATCATGATAGTACCTCTGAAGCTTTATTTGTTAGAGGTAGATCGTCGGAGAGGAAGTCATCTTCTAGTAGGAAAAAATCACACTCTCGACCTAGAGGAAATTCTAAAGGTAGAAAAACCTTGGAAAAGGATGAATGTGCCTTTTGTCATAATAAGGGTCATTGGAAGAAAGATTGTCCTAAGTTGAAGACCAAAGGAAAAGAAAGTTCTGAAGCCAATGTTGCTGAGGTTGAAACAGATGTTTTTTATTTTGCTTTAACCACTTCCTCATCATTTGATTGTGCTACTAAATGGGTGTTGGATACGGGTTGTACTCATCATATGACTCCTCACAAGAATTGGTTTTCAAGCTTGAAAGAGTTTGATGGTGGTGTTGTGTTCATGGGAGATGACAATCCTTGCACAACAAAAGGGATTGGTACAGTTCGTTTAAAGTTGCATGATGGCATGGTTAAAGAGTTGACAGGTGTTAGGTATGTACCGAATTTGAAGAAAAATCTTATTTCTTTGGGTACTTTGGAATCCAAGGGCTTTAGGTTTCATTCAGATGGACAGACATTGAAAGTTACTTATGGTGCACTTGTTGTGATGAAAGCTCCTCGATGTGGCCATTTGTATTTATTGTAGGGAAGCACTGTGACAGGTGAAGCATCTGTAGTCTCTGAAAATATGGGCACATCTGATTCAGATACTACTAGACTGTGGCATATGAGATTAGGCCATGCCGGTGAGAAAGCTCTACAAGGGCTTGTGAAAAACGGTCTTTTAAAAGGTGCCACGACTTGTAAGCTTGATTTCTGCGAGCATTGTGTCTTGGGGAAGCAAACTAGAGTGAAGTTTGGTACTGCTGTACATCAGACGAAGGGCATTCTTGATTATGTGCATTCGGATGTTTGGGGTCCTACAAAGACTCCCTCTTTGAGTGGTAGACATTGGTTCGTGACCTTTGTTGATGATTATTCAAGAAGGTCTTGGGTCTACACTATGAAGCACAAGAGTGAGGTGTTGAGCATTTTCTTGGGTTGGAAGAAAATGGTTGAGAACCAGACTGGGAGAAAGATTAAAATTTTGAGATCTGATAATGGTGGTGAATACACATCCGATCCTTTCTTTAAAGTTTGCAAATAGGAAGGAATTGTGAGACATTTCAGTGTTCGGGGAACTCCACAACAAAATGGAGTTGCAGAAAGATTGAATCGAACCTTGCTTGAGAAGGTTAAATGTATGTTGTCTCAGTCGGGTTTAAGCAAGTCATTTTGGGCAGAGGCAGTTAATTATGCATGTCACATCATCAACCGGTTACCCTCAGCTGCTGTTCAGGGTAAGACACCAATGGAGGTATGGACTGGAAAACCTTCTTCTGATTATGACTATATCCGTATTTTTGGTTCACCTGCTTATTTTCATGTGACTGAAAATAAACTTGATCCTAGAGCCAAAAAGGCTATCTTTCTTGGTTTTAGTAGTGGTGTCAAAGGTTACAGGTTGTGGTGCCCAAAGATGAAAAAACTTGTAATCAGCAGAGATGTGACATTTGATGAAGAAAGTATGTACAAAATCTCTGAGAAGAATGTGAAAGATGTCCAACAGGTGGAGCTTGAGAAAGTTGCTTCTGGTACTTCAAATCCTATTTCCGCTGATGTCGAAGCCACTATAAGTGAAGAAGTTGGAGACCATGAGGATGTTGAAGAAGTTGAACTTGAAGATTCTATCCAAGTTGAAGAGCAAGTTTCACCTCAAGAGTCTATTGCCATGAACAGAGGAAAGAGACAAATTACCAAGCCAGCTCGGTATAATGACTATGTTTCTTTTGCTCTTCTTATTATCACTGAAGAGATTCCATCCAATTTCGAGGAAGCCATTGAGAGTGAGGAGAAGGAGAGGTGGTGCAATGCCATGGGTGATGAGATGAATTCTCTCTTGAAGAACAAGACTTGGGAGTTAGCTAAATTGCCTAAGGACAAGAAAGCTATCGGTTGCAAATGGGTGTATGCCAAGAAGGAAGATGCTGATGAGAAAAGCAATGTGAGATTTAAAGCAAGATTAGTTGCTAAAGGGTATGTACAAAAGGAGGGCATTGACTACAATGAAATATTTTCTCCGATTGTGAAGCACTCCTCAATTCGTATTATGTTAGCTCTTGTTGCACAATATGATCTTGAGCTTGTGCAACTCGATGTGAAGACGGCTTTTCTACATGGTGATTTGAATGAAAAGATCTATATGTGTCAACCGGATGGGTATATAGTGAAAGGGAAGGAAAATTTGTTTTGCAAGTTGAAGAAATCACTTTATGGCTTGAAGCAATTTCCAAGGCAATGGTATTTGAGGTTTGATAAATTTATGAGAGGCCAAAATTATTCTAGAAGTCAATATGATTATTTGTGTGTACTTCAAGAAGTTGCAAGATGAGTCTTTTATTTATTTATTGATATATGTTGATGATATGTTGATTGCCTCAAAGAATGTTGAAGAGATTGAAAAATTGAAGAAGCAAATGAAGAATGAGTTTGAGATGAAGGAAAGAAGATCCTTGGCATGGAGATCACTAGAGATAGAGAGAAGGGTTTGGTCAGTTTGAATCAAAGACAATACCTTGAGAAGTTGATTCGGAAGTTTGGAGTTCATGATTCAACCAAACTGGTTAGTACCCATTTGGCTCCTCATTTTAAATTGAGTTTTCTACAGTGTCCTAAAACTGATAAAGAGAAGCTGCAAATGAAAAATATACCATATGCAAATTTGGTTGGTAGTTTGATGTATGCAATGGTATGCTCTAGACCGGATATTGCTCATGCAGTGGCATGGTGAGTCGATATATGCATAATTCAGGTAAAGAGCATTGGCAAGCAGCTAAGTGGATATTGAGGTATCTCCATGGTACTCGAGATGTTGGTTTATGCTTTGAGAGAGATGACTCTGGTATTGGTCATTTTGCAGTTGGTTATGTTAATTCAGATTATGCAGGTGATCTGGATGGAAGGAAGTCTACTACAGGCTATGTGTTTACTATGGCTAAAGGGCCAGTTTGTTGGAGGTCCATTTTGCAGTCGTCTGTTGCCTTGTCTACTACAGAGGCTGAATATATGGCAGTTGCTGAAGCTATAAAGGAGGTCATTTGGATACATGGGCTGATTAGAGATTTGGGGTTGATCAGAAGCAGGTGGAGGTACATTGTGATAGTCAGAGTGCCATTTATTTGGCTAAGTATCAGGTTCATCATGCGAGGACCAAGCACATAGATGTGCGTTATCACTTTGTTCGTGAAGTTGTTGGTGAAGGAGAAATCATTCTCCAGAAGATTTCAACTAAAGATAACCCCGCTGATATGTTGACTAAGGTTGTTGGTGTAGCCAAGTTTGTTCATTGCTTGAACTTGGCTCACATTATGCCTATATAAAGAAGGCGTTGAGCAGTAGGAGTTTTGGAGCATTTGGCTCGGCATGAGTTGTTCTCTTGCTAGTGTTTGGGAGTGATGTTGTGTGTTAATTGTGTTGGTTGGCTTATCATGGCGTTTTTCAGAACTTGGCCAAGGTGGAGATTGTTGAATAAGTGGCCAAGTGGCCAAGTGGAGAACAAAAATATAAAAAAAGCTTTTGGCTATTAAACAAATCAAAAGAAAAAAAAGGACAACATGATTATGTTTCCTTGTTTTGTGGCTTTTTCAAAGCCATAATTATGGTTTTTTTTCGGATAGAAGAAATAAGGAAGGGAGAGCTCATTGTCAGTAAGGGAGCTCATTTTCTGCCGAGAGCAAGGAGAGTTGTAGAGAGCCCAAAAGAAAGAAGAAGTTGCTGCTTCATTTGGTTAGTAATCATCCACCAAAGTAGTTGTTGTTGTAATAGCTTTGAGCTATATGTATAGAGAAGAAATTATTCATTATATTTCTTTCTCTATTTGTTTCTTTGGTGTGTGAGAGTTATTGGGTGTATTGGGTTATTTGGGTTGTGAGATTGCCAACACTTTGTAAACTTCCATTTGGTTGATAGTGGATTATTGGGTGAGCTCCTACTGCTCCGAGGACGTACTCCAGTTACATTGACTGTTGAGGAACCTCGTTAAAATCTTGGTGTTCTTTTATATTTTGTTCTTGCATTCCATTTGATATATTTCCTGTGGGTTAGCTTGAGTTGGTTCCATAAGGTTTGGTGCTATCCTAGCACAACACCTTGATGCTTGAATGCACGCCAGATACAAAGTGTTGGAACTTCGGAGTTTGATTATTCACATAGGTGACCCTCTCCTTATGCTAGATGAAATGATTTGCGGAGTGACCCTATGGAAATTCTTATGATTTGTTCACATAGGTGACACTATGCAAATTTTCTTCTTCACTGGCTATGCTTCTTTACTATAATGAAAAAGGAAGGTTTCAAAAGTATAAAAATGATATGCAGAGTGCCCCTAATTTATACAAATTGTACGTTATGTCATTCCAACTCTTTGCTTTGATATTTATACCCTTCTCAAATCATGAGAGTGGAAACTTGGTAATAGTTGGAAAAGGTAATTCTATTATTGTGATGCTAATTTGTGATTCTGTGATTTAGGTGAATGAAGGAAAAATCCCAAAAAATCGACTTGCTCTTAAACTGCTGGCTGCAGAAATGAATCAATGGCCTAATCTAGAGGTATTATTGTAATTCGGTATAAAATGATTAATTTTAGAGATGATTTTGATGTGTAAGTGGAAAAACAACATGAAGCCTAGGATAAAACGCCAAGCTCTGAATTCCAATTAAATAGCTTGTAAATCTTAGACAGCAAATATATGAAATTTTCCTTAGATGAATCACCAAGGCTTTTTCACCTTTATCTATGTTTCTAACTAACACTGGATATCAATTTGCTCATCTGTTCCTATGTTTTGTTTATGGTACAGGTTCAGATTACACCAGCGAAGAAAAAGCCTGGTAAGTCCCTGTATGCAAGAGCGACCGACACTGGTATTGATCTTCAAGAGGCTGCTAAGAGACTGAAGATTGATTGGGATACAGCTGCTGAGATTGATGATGGTGATCTTAAAGATGAAAATGAAGTGCCGTCGGTTTTGGTTTGTTACCTTGGCTTTCTTGTGATAAAATGATCTTATCAAGTTCTTGCAATTGTCAAATATGTGCTGCTAATTATTTTATGATTTTACACTAAATGCAATCATTTTCTCTAATTTTTCATTCCTTTCAACAAAAAAGTAAGATGGAAAAGTGTATCACCATTGTGATAAGTAAATAATGTTTGTAATTGCAATCTATCATTCAGTACTAAAATACTCCGAAAACCTTATTCAATACAAAGGCAGAAAACAGCTCATAGTTAATCGTTTATCTGCCTTCTGCAAAATGAATGCTTGATTGACATGCATATATATGTGAGGACCTTGTCAAAGTACTCATGAATTACGAGTTGCGAATAGTTTTCTGGTTTAGCTAATCCTCGGGTTCCTGATACGCAGTTTCTTATCTCGCAGGGCTATGGAGCACTGTACTTAGTCACAGCTTTCCCCGTCATTATTGGTGTATCAGTGGTATTAATTTTGTTTTACAATTCACTCCAGTAGAAATCTTGTCTCGCCGTCATATTTCACTGTAAAAATATCATTCCTTGCAATATACCGAATACCGTTCTGATCTTCACATGAGTTTTGTACGTCTAAATGCTAATTAGAAATATCAAATATCATGTAAGAATCTTGTATCTGGTGCTATTGTATATGGTGTTATGCAAGCACATCAGATCTTGTAGTTTATTTTATTTTATTCTTGTTAATAACTCTCTTTCATGAAGATTTACATATATTAAAACCGAATTATCGTATAGATTAGCAGCTTAAACTATTCTAAATACAATATTAAATTTTGCTGACCCTTGTTTATATGGAGCAATTCGACATGGATATCACTACTAGGTTTGGATTAGTGGAGAATATGCTGATCACGTCTAAGTTCATATAAGTCTTATTTTCCCTCCTTTTTAAGTAGTCCAAATCCCAGACTTGTTCCTCAGGATTTCTGCTTTTCTCGACCATGGATTATCCGTTTTCGGGCGATATAAGTGACTACTTTACTCTTGGAGATCTAGAAAAACAGATTTCTGTAGATCCAATATCACTGAAAGAATCATCACACAGAGAAGTGAGTGCTGAACCGGTGGTGGAGGTGCCGGTTGTTGCTGCTCCAAAGCCGAATGCACTTGACCAACGACCGCCCCTGCTGCCGCCTGCAAACCCCAAGTTCTTAAGCTTCAGTCTCCCAAACTCAGCAACCTCATCGCCGCGAGTGAAGAAGAAATGGAAAGACGAAAGCCAGGCATCTCCTCGGCAGCAACTGGAGAATCTGAGCCACCTGCAACAAGAAATTGAGTTCCGGCGGAGCAAGTCATGTGGTCAAGGGAGGACATTTGCCCCGTCAGTTGACTTTGATCTCTTGCTGATCAAACCAAATGCCGCCGAAATAGTCTCCAGGCACTACAGCAGCCTCTTCAGGGCCGAGTCCAACAGAGTTGCTCATAAAAATGGCAATAACAGGGACCCACACGACGATGAGTTCACGTGTGGGGCCCTGTGCTTGTCCATCCCTGGCTTTGGCAAGGCAAAGGCAGTGAGAGCAAGAAAGGTAGAGCCTGATGAACTGGGAAATGTCATATCCAGGACAGTTTCCTTGGAAAAGTTTGAATGTGGCTCTTGGGCTTCAGCTATGATAAATGAGCAGGAAGATGACAACACCAGTCGCTACTTTGATCTGCCATTGGAGCTGATACGAAGCAGCGTCAACGAGGCAGATTCGCCAATTTCAGCATCTTTTGTGTTTGACACGGATCGAAAGGGTGCCCAAAAGAATGGATCAACAAGAGCACAAGGCCGGAAATCACACGAATCATCGCGCAGCGTTCGGTTTTCTACATCATCAGATGCTGCATCACCAACTGCTTGCGTTACGCCTCGCTTGCGCAAAGCTAGGGATGATTTCAAAGCTTTCTTAGAAGCACAGAGTACATAACTTACTCTGCTTTTTGGTATAATGACTGTATTGGCCATGTTATAAAATAATGCGAGTAGATTGTAACTATAGTCCTTCAATTATTACCCGATTATCACTTTTGTCCGTGAATTAAGCAATTCTATAGTCCTTCAACATATAACCGTGTATCACATTGGTCCGTTTTTCTATCTAAATTTAGGGGCCTTGTGCTTGTTCCTATTGTCATAACATGGAGCTATAGTTCTAGAACTATACGGTGTGAGTAGCCCTTTTTGCCCTTAAAATGGTAGAAAACTAACGTGTTTTGTACTTTTGATGGTATGATACAAAAACTGGGTAATAGTTCAAGAACTATAGTTACAATTTACTCGAGAAAATGCAAACACGGAAGCCGGCTATTTTGTTAAAGATAGTTATGTGACAAATGCTACATTGTGCAGGTTGGAATGGCATTGGGCCAATAACCGGACTCGGGCTGGGTTTGGAAGTGGGTCTGGTCGATACTATACTTCCATTTGGAAGCTTAGGGCTACTGCCGTTCTCGTAGTCAGCTAAACCCAAAAGACAATGTCCAATTTCCCAAAGGATTGGACCAGCAGACAAAAAGCGTGCCCCCATGCTACTCAAGGCCTTTGCTTGAGCTCTAGGCAACTGGACTCGACAAGGTTGCCCCGACCTCTTGGCAATTTTTGACATCATGTCATATTCTGGTTAACTCAGTTTGAGTTCATATAAATCTAATTCGAGCTATTTAGTAAGAGGATGGTACATTTTTTCCAATTTTCTTAGTGGTGTTGGGTAGTTTTTTTTTTTATGATTGTTGTGGTTATATCCTGTGTCATGTAAGTTGGGAAAAAAGTTGAGAAGAAAAGTTGGGATAAGCAGCATTTTCCTTTATACATAGATTTTGTTGAGTGACTTGATTCCAACCTACTCCGTTTGTTAAATTGTATGTAGTCCCTTTTGTTAGGAATTGGCTCGTCATCGTTAGTGCCCTATTAGGAAAATTGAACGTTCATAGATTCTTGTCCTAAAAAAAATTAAGAAAGAATTAAGTTTTTTTTGTGCAAATTTAGATTAGGAATTCCAGAAGCTTAATTGGAATACGAAAGAAAGTGAATTTTCTTATCCCATGTAGAATAGGAAACCTAATCAGGTTATAGGCACGTAAACCGCACCTTATATATATAAACAGGGTGCAGGAAGGCTGAAAAGCACAGACATAAAAAATAGATTACAGCATAGAAAAAAAAAGGATTAGTTCTGGGGTTTGTAAAAGTACTGTGTATTCTATTATTAATCAAAAAAGTCGTGATTTCTCTATCTAGAGAAATCGCAACTGGACGTATGCAAAAGTTCCGCCGAATAGTATAAGTCTTGTTTGATTTTAGTTATTCTCTAATTTGATAAGTTTAATTTATTGCCGGATACATCAAAGAGAAAAATCCAGAGTATGTTGTATTTGAGGGAATGTCTCAATCACTTCTCTTACCTATGTAAAAACAAACATAGATCTCATTAAGAGTATATAACACTCATCATGTTGCCTGAATCCCCCTTATACATACATTTTCCATTACATATTCCCGTCTATTGTTTTAATTTTCGTTTTATCATTTACATAAACACGTTGCTCCAAGAACTAGCTAGAAAGTGAAATTATTGGCTTCGTGTACTGATTCAATGAAACAATTCGAAAGTTACATCAATCTGCGTCAAGTCAATACGGAAACAAAATGAGAGACCTACCTTCCTCCCAACCTTCTAAATAAAAGAAAATCCTGGACTTTGGTAAATTTCGTGTTCACATACCAATGCTGCTGCATGCTTCGAAGAAAATTCCTACACTTGGTAAAATAATAGTTCATGTTCAACTTCTTCTTCCCTTCTTTTACCTAAAAAACAATTTACATGGTACATGCACACTGTTAACGCACCGTTCTAAAACAATCCTATAACGCTACTGTTATTTTCTTTTTACATAACATTGGTACGACTTAACTAGCACAGTATTTGTAAAGAAACTGCGAAAAATGTGCACGCAAAATGTAAGTTTTTTCGTGTTAGCGTGGCTGCATGGGTTTACAGTTGAAGCCTGACAGGGCACAACACAAGTGTAAAACCGGACATGGGTTTGATACGTACACCATTTCAATTCCACATGTGTTCATGTGATGCGTCTCCCCTATGCCCACCACCACCACCATTTTTAACCTTTTTTATATATAATATGGCTGTATAGTCTCAATCGGTACCAGAAATTTGTTATATCTTGGCACCTATAGAAACCGTATTTGAAATTCATGATATTGCTCAGAAGATTCACCACAAAAATTAATAAGTATTAGGGGCGCTTAGTGGTGGATTAGGGACAGAAATATGGATTTCCGTCTACTAACACCCAATGTGTTACCATATGAACACGAATCGTACATAAATATTGTTTGAATTGTTCAATCAAACAACTTTTCATACGACATGTAGTAGATCACCTTGGTGAATGGTGATGGTTTTCATGATTTAATTAACGTTACAAGATCTTATGATTACCTAACTCACAAGTCACTAGATGTAATTATTGTTGTTGTTTATTGATTAAGAAGAATCCGTTATTAATAATTGGATTAATAGTGGTTAATAATACATCATGGAATTTGAAAGCGAAGCATGCGGAGGCAGTGCCAGCTGCTATACAATACAAACAAACATCCACCTTGCTTCCTCATGGGCCTCATATTTGCAAATTGCATGGGGAGGGACAGACACACTCTCTCAAATAATTGAACAAAAACAAAAATTGTCCATAAAATACTCATGTACTCTTATATTACAACCAAAAAAGTTAATAATACAGTAAATAAAATAACCCAAAATTAATATATTGAAGGCAAACTCGCCCTCCAGCACTAACTATGAGCTTATTTGAAAGTGTTTTTAAATGACTGAAAATGTTTTTTATTTGTTAAAATTGTAGTTCCATGTAGAAAAGTTGTGTTAGAACCTCCACCGCCAGTTTCCTGTTACGTCTTTTTATATTTATATAACAAGATTCTTGTCACAGTCATGATTCACTAATAGTATTATTACTATTTGACAACTATTATCTTTCTTAAACAAAACAATCACACCCAAATCATCATATGAGGAGGGGTAAGGTGCTTTATGCTCATGTAGTGGCGAAGTCGGAATTCTGAATAAGAAGGGGTCTTTCACAAATATGTATATATATATATATATATATGAGTGTGTAAAAAGTTGAATTCATAACATGTTGACATATGCAATTTATGTAATCCTTACAAAACTGAAAAAATTCTGTTAAATTCAATAGTAAGAAGAAAAAAATGTAAAAACCCAGACAACCAAGTAAGAGGTAGGTTGTGGAAGGCTAAAGAAAATACAAAGAAGTAGAAAAAGAAGGAAAAGGGGGAGAGGTCGCAAATAAAGAAGGTGGGTTCTTTAAAAATTATAGGGTGTATTTAGTTAGGTGAGAGAATCGAACCAGAAGTGGGGTTGCTTTTTCCATTTAAAATTGCACATCTCTTTTAAAACTCCCCTGCCAAACTTATCATTTCATTAGACAGCCGAAAAAATTTAAAATCAAAACAGCTTAACGACGTCGTTTGCTTCATCTTATTCCATGAGATTCACACTTCAGATGAAGTCAGGATGGACCAGAAACTACCCTAATCCCTTGTGGCTCCACCCCTGTGCTCATGTCATGTGGTTAAAATATTTACTCTTGTATCCGACGTTATATTTTGTGCTCGACATCATTACCCTTTGTTTGACTAAACAATAAAATCTTGTTTACCTTATAAAACACACAACATATAGGGATGAGAGCAACTTACATATAAAACAGATTCGCATGCAGCATTGCGATCCAGCAATACAAAACTACGTGTTGAGAAACCCTACATATTTCATTGTTTTATTATAATGAAATGTTGTGATAACAATAAACGCGTTTCATGTAAGTCATTCTCCATAGGACGGGAATTAAGTATAAAAAGGAATGTAACTAAGAACGAGAAGGCTTAGCAGTGAGACTAAGTATGATTAAAAAACTAGAAATTTTCATTCTAATCCTTGGCAAAGATGACTTTTAAACTAAAACCATGAGTAAGATCAAAATATAATTTTAGTCCATTGATACATTAATAACCTCATTTATTAATTACATTTTCATTTTTTAATTATTTCTCTTTTTCTTTCTAATTTTAATGTATTAACTTTATTTCATTATAATTATAATTTTCATTTCATTTATCATAATATATTTTGTTGTAAACATTTAGATAAACTAATTTTTGTTATACAATATATTTCGATGTACTTTGTCTTCTTCATTTAGGTACATTAAATTCATTATAATACATTTCGGTGCATACATTTCGGTACACACATTTTAGTACATACATTTTGATACAAACATTTAGATACATTAATTCAATATAATACATTTCGGTACAAACATTTCGGTGCATACATTTAAGTACATTAATTTAATATAATACATTTCGGTGCATATATTTCAGTACATGCATTTCGGTATTAACATTTAAATACATTAGTTTAATATAATACATTTCAGTACATACATTTAGGTATATTAATTGAATCTTTCAAGTTTGAAGAATGTTAAATAAAATTAATAAATAAAGAAAAAAACTTTTTTTGGTAAAAAAATAAATTAAAAATTGTATATTAATAAATTTAAATATTTAATGGGAGACATTAAATAAAATGCACGTTAATTATTTTGAATTAAGAACACATCAATGGACTATAATCAATATGTAATCTAGCACTAAGTTTATTTTAAATTTCAATCTTCTTAAAAGATTAAAGTTAAAAAAACCCCAAAAACTGGACCATAGTATAATGTAGAAACATTAAGAACACCATTAATCAAGGTTGCATGTCTGTATACTGTGAAAAAGTGGGGGTTGAGGGGGTTGAGTTTTCAACTTTCATCGGCGTTACTCTTGGAGCTGCTGAATTGAGTGGGGTAG